CCAACCTCAACGGCGGCTCGGCCACCAGGGACGTGGGGGACGGGAGCAGCACCTCCAGCACGGGCAGCGCGGGCAGCCCCGACCACCATCACCACCACCTCCACCACCACAAGGCCGGCGACAGCAAGGCCGGTGCCATGCGGAGGTCCATGGACGACCTGTCCGCGCCCCTTCACCACCGGAGCATCCCCAACGGCCTCAATGGTGAGCCTCTCCCCACATTTCCCCTCCATGCCATGCCCACCCCTGCCCATCCTTGTTGACCTCTGTGGAGGAGCAGCCCTGGGGACCGGGGAGGGCCACCCTCCCCGTGCGAGAGTGGTGGGTGGTAGTGGTGAGGGTTGGAGCCTTTTTTATCTGGAGGGCTGATGTTTGGTTTGGTTGGTTGGTTGGTTTGGGTTTTTTTGACAAAAAACAGCCCGAGTTTTCAGGGTTAAATAAACACTGATTTTTCTATCTCTTCCTCCTTTCTCTCTCTCTCTCTCTTCCCTTTTCAGTATTTTAGTTTACGTTTGACTTGTTTGTTTGCTAGTCTGATAAGATTGGTAAAGAGCCTGACAGATTTTGGAAGCGTCTGAGCAAGGTGCAGGGTTGCCCCACAGAGCATCACCTGGTAGCTCCATGGGTGCTCGGGGCAGGCCGGCTGTGCCATGCTCAGCAGTTTTGGAGAGGTGCATCTCGGCTTCCCCTCCCCTTCGCACCCCCGCTGCGTTTCAGAAACAGGAGGTTTGTTTGTAGAGGAGAGATTGCTCTCAAAGGGACGCTGTACTCACAATTTTGTTCAGCCTAGTCATGAAAGTTAGAAACAAGCTCCACCGTGAAATCGTGCCAAGCCTCCTCTGACAGTTTGTATTCAAGCAAAGTTTCTCCTGTTGTTACTAATAGTGATTAGGCATTAAAAGAATAATATTGGAATGTCTTTAAAATGGAGATTTTTTTTCTCATTTGAAACGAACAAGACCAAATACTTGACTTCTAGAAGGAGTAGTTTGGCCAAGAGGGTTCAACCAGGCACCAACCTAATTAATTCTTGTATGTAAGACTCCTTTTAATGTTCTTAATCCTCTTTTCCAACCAGAGAGGACTATTTTCTGGTTGGGGTACCCTTTCCCTCCTCCAAGCACAGAGATGGGGCTGGAGCCCCAGAGGTTGGCTCCGACTGGTGTCAGCAGTGGATATGTTTGCCAGATAACCATGCCTTCAGCTCCTGGAGCTTTTGGTGGTCTTGGTGGGACCAGTGCTGGTCCTTTTTTTGGTGGTTTACGGCAAGTCCTTATGTCCCAAGAGATCTGACGGCATGCAGCACTGATCAACCCAGTTCTCAAGTACTGGTGTTCGTGAATTTGCCACGCGCAGTCCTGTTGTCACAGCTTGTGTCTTCACTCACAGCTGGAGGTGTTCTGGCCACCTTACCCAGTAGACAAGGGTGATCCAGTCACCAGATGTTGCAGGGTGCAGCAAGCATCTTTAAATGTTTGTTGTTCTTTCTGTCCAAGTGCTGTGTAAATCAGAAGTATCTGGTTTGTAAAGCTGCAGATAGCTTCTGCTTCTAGTGTGACTTGACTTGATTTTCATTAAAGCATTGACTGCTCCGCACTGAGGCCAGTGGAGAGCACTTGACAGATATTGAACGTGCTGGTTCTGTTTTGGGACAGAAGGGCTTTGCAGTTCTGGTTTGTGAACCTTAGACCACATCGCTTTTAGGTATCAACAGCTGACTGGGACAAAGCCAGTTGAATTAATTCCTGTTAACCCAGCGATGTTGTGCACACGGGACACCAGCACCACCTCAGACCTGTTCCTTAAACCGGATGTGAGGCACTGTGGAATTCTTCTCATGGGATTCAAGTCATCCCTGTCTGCATAAAGAGGAAAGACTCTGCTTGCAGAGCTCAGTCCTCGTTGACCTCCTCAAAAGCTGTGTGCGGGACGGTGCCCAGCACCATCATTCGGGGGGACCTGAGAGCTGAGTCTCATGTCCTACCCCGTGTAGGGTAAGTGCAGGGAGGGCTGGTAGAGCATCTGCACATGTTTATGCTTCCATGCGTGCCTCTGCACCCTTTCCTCTGCTCCTGTACAGAAAGGAGGAGTATGGGCTCAAGCATTCAGACGTGACCTTAGGTTTTAGTGACTTCTGGTTTTGGGGTGCCTGTGGAAAATGGTCTCTGTGGGAAGCACTGAAACTAGCTCTTTGCTGCGAACCTGCGCGGCTTCATTTCTGAAGGTGTGACAGGTATGATCAGCACTTTTAATGCTAATAATCCTTGTAAAGATGCAAACAAGCCTGATCTCTCTGCTTAGGTAGTGAAGCCGTAAAATGACTTGAATAGTTGTCGTTCTCAGATAGCATCGGTATTCAGCCAGGCCATTTCCCTCACTGCGCCTTTGGAAATGCCTCTCAATACACATGCAAATGCAAAGCTTATCAGGCCCCTTTTTTGGCTGACAGCGAGAAGTCTGGGAGGGGGGCTCGCCTGGGACCAAGCCGCAATTCTGTTAAGCCTGTGTCAGGGTGGAAGAGCAGGGCATGAGAGCGTGAAAGACAACCCCTGTGGGTCAGGTGGGTGGTGGATCTGTCACAGAGCAGCCCCGGCAGCGAGCAGCCTTCCGTGTCCCCTGGTGCCATCTCTGCCACCCGTGCATGCAGCCCAGATGTTGGCCTTTTTATACTCTTTTCCTCATGATTGTTTTTTCCCACCCCGGGATAAAACAGAAGGGAGGAAGAGGAGAAAGCGTGGCCTTTCATTTTTAGGTTGCAAGCTTCAGTCTAGTTTGCTGTTGTCTCATGGCTTTAAAACATGGGATAACTAACCTGTGGGTGACGCGGAGACTGCCCAGTCCGCTCAGCGGATACCGCCGTGAGCAGCCCTGGTGTGCTTTCTTTGGTGTGGAGGTGGATCTGAAACGCAGAACGTAGCATCTGTAGTAAGAACACAGCGGAAGCCTTGGACTGACGGGTGGGGGCAAGGCGTGGTGAGCTGTTTGCTGGGGCACTTTTGCAATATGGAAAAGCTGGAAAGTCCTGAAATGTGCTGCCCCTGGTAGGGGTTATCAGTGGGGCTTCGTGTGCTGCTCTGCTTTTCTAGGTATTGAGCGGGACTGTCGCACTTGTTCTGTGCTTTTCTAAAGGAGTCAAGAGTATGGTGGCTGCTAAATGCTCCCAGGGAGGTACCTTTCTAAGGCAAACTTAGCGAGCAAAGGTGGATTAAATATTTCTCACTTTCTCCTCAGCAGTCATTTGGAAGATAGTTGGTAAACCAAGGCTTGATTTATTGCCCCCAGTGACCCACCCCAGCGTGAGGTGATGAACTCTAGTTTTGTAGTGTGAATTCAGTATAAGTGGTACGAGTTTAAAAAACAAAAACGCAACCCAGCCTGCGATCCACCTTCCCTCACTCTTCTGAAGTCTATTTACTTCTATAAACTGGCTTTTTGGAAGCTGATATCTGGAACATGATGGTTAATTATCTGCTCATGGAAGATAAGGTAATAAGTATAACTGATAGTGTGAAAACAGCTAATATTAGATGACACATGTAATCTTCTGCAGCTCTGGATATTCTGCAGAGAGCCAAGAGGAAGTCTGAAAGTAAATGGTGTTTCCATTCTCCGTGTGTGAGCTGGGACCTGGGCTATGGGACAGGATCACCTCCAAGCTATATGATGGGAACTGGCCAGTTGCATCTGTGTTGAATGATATGCCACCATTCCCATAAATCTACCCACAGATCCAGGACAGAAATTGAGGCACAGTTGCTGTGTTGTGCTTGTGAGTGCTGTGGCTTTATGTTGTATGCACGGCAGGAGTGTGTGTCTGCCCATCTGGGTTTAGGCAGCCTGGCTAGAGTGATACCCATTGGCACCGGCTGGTTTCTGTGAGAATAAAGTTTCCAAAAAACTGGATTAAAAAAAAAAAAACAACAAACCAACAGACAAACTTGTTGGGTGATACTAACCTGACCAGGTGGAAGGAAAAAGCCTTCAAGTACTATAGGATATGTCCCTGGACTGTGAGGTGTGTGGGAACTTTGGGAGCTCCCTGAGGCGAGGGCACTGGCTTCCACGGGTTTTAGCCTTATCTAGATGTGACTGGGACAACTGTTTATCCATCTACAAGCCTGGAGGCATATAGACTCACTAGCTGGTGATCTGCCTGTGACAAAGTCCTGTGCATGCAGGCAAAGCTTTCAGGCTTTAAGTTTTCTGCTGAACGTTGTTGTTAGAACTTCACCTTCCCCTGAAGCTCTTTGCTCTGGGTTCCCGAAATGGGCTAGGTGGTTTCCAGTGTGTCATTGACTTTGTTCTAGTTGTGTAAAATTCTAATGCATTTCTTTGTCAATGTGAACAGGATTTTTTAAAAAAATAATTGTTAAAAACATCAACATTTGAAAAGTGGTCAGTGGCCTGGAAGAAAGCCATGGGTATGGCAGATAGCTTGTAGTAGCAGAGACATTAATCTATGGTCTCTCCCTGCTGACTGCTCCAATGGAAGAAGAATGGTCTCTCTGGGTGAGCGGGTGGGGAGATCTCTAGTTCTATTGATTCCCACTTGTAAATGTCCACATATTTACCTAGAGGGTACGATATATTGCAGTTAAAATGGTGGCAAAGAGAAATGGCCATTCCCTGTGGGTTGGTATTGATCGGACGTGCAGCTACCCTGTACTTATTTCTCCTCTTCTTCACACACCCTTTAGGCCAAAGTCCTTTGTTTATATTAGTCTATTTATAATCAATATACATATTATTTACTATGACATGTTAATGAGGCCTTTGAGAAGAGAAGATGCAGGGGCAGAAGCAAAGGGTAAGGTTCATCCCATTTAATTTGAGGTATCTCCAATATAGACTTTAACGTCTGCATCCCCTTGGGCTTTCTTTATTGGCCATGTGGAGAAAGGCACTTTGGTGTCCTGATTTATGTCACGTCTAATCCTCTGAACATTGTTTTAACTTTCTTTTTTTGATACTGGTGTATTTAACCTGTCAATATTTTTGGTGCTGTAGGCTGCTACGTACAGGTTCCTTGTGATTAAGCCAGGAAGCCTGCTGTGGGCTGGTACACTAGATGTAAGACCTCTGTAGAAACACTTGTTTCCATCTCTTCTGTAAGTTCACTGAGTTCTGCTAATAGGTTTATCAGTGCTGAGGTCTCAGACACTAAGGGTACAGCTTGAGTTTCTTGTAGCCAGTAGTCGTCATTG